TTTTTAATGACCGGTTTGGCAGTATAGTGCATATGGCTGGCTATCAGTCCAGATGTAGGGATTATGTATTTTTGTCTGCCAAGAGCATCTCCTCCTGCTGAAAAAGCCTCCCCCCACCCCATTTAAGCAATCCTATCCTATATAATCTATTTATAAAAGGGTAATATGCTAATTAGACCAGGTTGACCGGCCATCTTCCGGACGTCTGACTTCCAGACAAAGCCATGGTGGTGGGGGCCGAGGCAGGGGCAGTTAGGGGTGATTAGGCCGGCAAGTGAGGGCCGTTGGGGGTGAGATCAGTCCAGCAAGGGAGGGCAGTTAGGGGCGATCAGGCCGGCAGGGGAGAGCAGTTAGGGGCAAGATCAGTCTGGCAGGGGAGGGCCTTTGGGGGCGAAATCAGGCTGGCAGGGGAGGGCCATTGGGGGCAAGATCAGGCTGGCGGGGGAGGGCAGTTGGGGGCAACCAGGCTGGCAGGGGAGGTAGTTGGGGGCGAGATCAGGCCGACAAGGGAGGGCAGTTAGGGGTGATCAGGCAGGAAGGCAGAGGCAGTTAGGGGCGATCAGGCAGGCAGGCAGAGAGGTTAGGGGTGATCAGGCAGGCAGGCATTCTTTTTTGAATGAATGAATGAATGAATGAATGATTTTCATTTATAAATTGGGACAATCAGCTATCACCTGATAAATTCTGTAGCTTTAATAAAGCTGTAATTTCTAGGAGATGGTGTAGAAATACCTTGAAGTAGGAGTAAGAAGATAATTCTCTAACCTAGGTGAACCACTTCTCTGTACCTTGATTTCCTGAGTTATTCTAGAAAATATGAGACACTACTTTGTCCATTGAAAGATTCTTAACAAATGTAAACTGGACTATTGTTCTGGAGAATAAGCAAATTTTATTACAACTCCTGTGCTTTGATGTAATTTCTACTGTTTTTACAAAATTTTTATGATAGTTGAAAATTTGTGAGGAAAGATATATAATCATAAGTCAGCCTGTCATGTAACAGTACAAATATTTGAAAAGCAATAAACATAATTAAAAATTCTTATTTTAGGGCCTCATAATTTCTTTTCTTTTTTGGTTTTTTAATTTTGATTTATTGGGGTGACATTGGTTAATAAAAGTATATAGTTTTCAGGTGTACAGTTCTATAATACATCATCTGTATAATGTATTGTGTGTTCACCACCCAAAATCAAGTCTTCTTTGTCACCATTTATCCCCCATTATCCCTCTTCCACCTCCCTCCACCCTCTTTTCCCTCTGGTAATCACCATACTGTTGTCTGTGTCTAAGGGTTTTTTGTTTGTTTTGTTTTTGCTTAATTCCTTCACCTTTTTCACCCAGCCCCTCTAGCTGCTGCCCGTCTGTTCTCTATCTGTATTTTTTTCCCATCTATATATGACTTTTGCACATGCTTCATTTCATTACCCCTCACAGCTTAAATTCCAGATTAATATTTTATGTTGCTTTTAAGTTTTAGGTACAATTTTACTACCATTATTTTAATAGTTTTTGCTCTTGGACTTCTTTAATATTTTTCTGTTCCATGTATTTTAGTAAATAAGTACAGTTGAGCAGAATAATGGATACTATCTGTGGTCTTGAAAGATAGTCTTTGTTTTTTATAAAATGTAAAATCAGTATTTTTTACTAACTGGTAACATCTTATGTGTGCTGTTTGTCAAGCCATTCAACCTCTTTGTGATTTACTTTCAATATCTATAAAATTGGAATAATAATTCTCATAGAGTTATCAATATGATTAAATGAGATAAATATCTGTAAATAACTTTTAAAAGTTTTCTGTACATAATAAATGCTCATTAAAAGTTGACTTTAATTGTTATTGTTGATGATGATAGTAATAATGTACCAACATTTCTTTTTGCAACCTTTTCCATATGTGATTAATTGTTTATTTTAGCCCTGTAGTAACACTGGACCATTAATTTTTTATTGCTACCTGATATTTCTCTATTATTTCTCCCCAATTTATCGTAGAATTTGATGGGTTTTTTTCTAAATTTCTATTAAACTTTAGGATTAATAATAGACAGTAATTTATATACAATTGTTGAACACAGAATTGAGTGACAACAATCAAATGTCAAAAGGCTTTTTAAGTAATATAGTTTAAGAAGTACATGTCGGAGCTCTTATTTTACTCTTTGAAAAACATCTGCTTAATGGAGATTCAGGTCTATCAAAGTTAATCTGTTTATCTGCCATTATATTCTACTTGACTATTAAAATTCCATTTTTTACATTTGTAATAATTTCCATACTTTCTGATATTTATATCAGACTAGAGGCCTGGTGCATGAATTCATGCACGGGTGAGGTCCCTCAGGGTGGCCTTGGGGATCGGGCCCCAGCTCAAGCCCCCAGCCTTGCAGCCCCACCTGGCACCCCGCCTTGGCCTGGCACCACCCCCTCACCTGCTCCACCATCCCACCTATGGGGCAATTGATCATGGCCAGCCCCACCTGGCTCCCTCAGTGCCTGGGAGCCAGGCAGCGGCCCTGCCCCCTGCTGTTGCCACTGCTGGTTGCCATTTGGAGGGCGATTGACGGGGCAATTGGACCCCTGCTCGCACCCACCTTGCACCCGCTCACTTGCTCAACCATCCTCCCACTCATCAGGGTCGGCAGCGCTTCCACTGCCACCCACTGCCAGTGCCGTGTGGCTGACACCCACCATTTTTTGTGGCCCCCCCCCCCCCCCCGCAGTGGTCAGTGCACATCATAGCGAGAGGTCGAATGACCACCCAAGGGGACAATTTGCATACTAGGCTTTTGTTATATAGGATGCTTACAGTGTAGCATCTTTAGAAATTTAGGAGATAATTTGAAGTAACTTTTAGTGGATGATATATCTTTAAAAAGTATATTATGATTTTGAGGTGAGTATAGATGACAAACTTCCTTTAAGAAAATAAATCACTTGGTTTTTTTACCACATTCAGTTTGCAGCTAAGGGTGCTAAATGTTTAGTACATGGGAAATGTTACAAGTAGCAGAGTCTAGTTTACACAAAGCCTTTCTGTTTATATTCTTCGAGTTAGAGCTGCTGCATGCATTAAAACTTCTATGATTTTAGTCACTATCTGCTGAAATTTTAAATATGGGGCATATTATGTTTATACCAAAGAACAAAACTGAAATTATGTAATTATCTAATTGAATCGATTTCACAATATTCACTGTTCCATCGTAAAAGTTGCTCTACAGTGTCACTCCTTTTAAACCATTTAATCAAAGTTTCTTAAAGCTTTAGTTTTCAAAAATGTAAGTAGTGTAGTGGTGGAAGTTGAACTCTGCTTATTCATAGTTCACCAACATTTCATTTATTAAAATTTGCATCTTATTTTCTTAGCCATACTATTTAAATACATTATTTTGATCATAAGGATATAAGTTTCCAGGTTTTATTATGCAAACTTTATAGTGACCATAATAGGTTTGTATGTTATTTTGAGTAATTAGCCTTGAGGAAAAACATATAATTACAAGACTGGAAAATTGAGTGATTCTTAGAGCATTAGCATTATACTTTCAAGGAACCAAAGAGTTGATGATACTGTTTTATGGATAACTTCATTCAAAAGTGATGGTATTCCTTCCTGATGGAGATTTATTACTACTTTTGCCTGATTAGATAGGATCTGTGTCACTAAGAAGGAAAAAGAAATTATTAAGAATTTAAAAGAGAAAAGGAAAGTGTGGGGGAGAAGAGGGTAATGAAGGTGATGGGTGGAATTAACTAAGATTATGAGACGTAGGGGCCTGCTTTGTTATAAAGAGCTCAGAGAGAAGGTGAGAAGATTGTGGGAAAGAGAGTAGGGGTTAATAGCACTGTCTACACTCCATGAAGACACTTTTGGCACAAGGAAACCTTTTTGCTATTTGGATCCTTTTAGGTATGTGGATAAAAGGGAGAATGGCCTGACTGGTTTGGCTCAGTGGATAGAGCGTCGGCCTGCAGACGCAAGGGTCCCAGGTTTGATTCCGGTCAAGGGCATGTACCTTGGTTGCGGGCACATCCCCAGTAGGGGGTGTGCAGGAGGCGGCTGATTGATGTTTCTCTCATCGATGTTTCTAACTCTCTATCCATCTCCCTTCCTCTCTGTAAAAAAATCAAAATATTTAAAAAATAAAAGGGAGAAAGTGTGTAATTCATTAATTACATATCAACTAGAGGCCCAATGCATGAAGATTCGTGCAAGTATAGGCCTTCCTTCCCCTGGCTGCCAGCACCAGCTTCCCTCCGGCACCCAGGACCCGGGCTGCTTCGCTCTGCCTGCCGCCGCCACCCACCGGGACCTGGGCTGCTTTGCTCCTGCCACTGCAGGGCACCCAGGACCTGGGCTGCTTTGCTCCTGCCACTGCCAGGCACCCAGGACCTGGGCTGCTTTGCTCCAGCCACCACCAAGCATCTGGAACTGGGGCTTGCTTTGCTCTGGCCGCTGCCACCACCCACCGGGGGCATACTCCGAGCCGCGTTGCGGCTCCTTGGAGCACGCCCCCACCCCTGGTGTGTGTCTGCTGGGGCTGGGGGCAGCACACAGTCCCCTCCCACCCATCTGCGCACACAGCTCCTCCTGAGTTAGTCGTGACGCCGGCTAATTTGCATATTACCAATTTTATATATATATATATATATATATATAGGGAATGTATAAATCAGATGTTCACAACTTTAAAAAAGCATTGATTATGCTTTCATGCTACTTAGGGAACACCTTTGTTATGAATGGTATGGAAATACTAATGTACTAGGCATATTTAACATTTTATTACTTTCTGTATTTATGTCTCCGTATTAAAATCTGAAACATAGAGATGATAATATCCAAATGTGCCATGTTAAAAATGTGTTATTAATTATTATGGATACTATGAAAATAAGAGACTAACAAATATTAATTAATTTTATTTAAGGGACCAGTCTAAGCTTTTGTCAGTTTGTAATTTCAATTTATGTTTCCTTTCAATAAGTTTCATAGGAGGATTTACAAAGGGATCCCACTCCAGCTCCGAGGTGAAGTCTGGGCTCTACTTCTTGAGATCCCGAAAATGAAAGAAGAAACAAGGGACCTTTATAATGTGAGTATCTGATGCCAACCTGTTATTTTGAAATTCAGAAGTAAAATTCATTTCTTTAAGCATTCAAGGTGATGTAAGGTATTCGTATCATCATTTGAAATTATATGATAGAGGCCCGGTCCACAGATTCATGCACTGGAGTGGTCCCTCATCCTGGCCTGAGCCCTCTTGCAATCTGGGATGCGAGTGAAGCAGATTCAGGGCCAACAGTGCCCTACCAGCAACCTAACCCACAGCTGATTCTGTGAGGAATTGGGCTCCCTCCTCCCTCGTCTGTGGGTCCGGGGTGCGGGTGAAGCAGAGTCGGGGCCAACAGTGCCCTAGCAGCAACCTAACCCATGACCGATTCCACGATGAATTGGGCTCCCTCCTCTACTCATCGGAGCGTCTGCCCTATGGTGGTCATTGCGTATCATAGCTACCAGGCGAACGGTCAAACGGTTGGTTAGGCTTTTATATATACACTATAGAGGCCCGGTGCACAAAAATTTGTGCACTCGGGGGGGGGGGGTCCCTCAGCCCAGCCTATACCCTCTTGCAGTCTGGGATCCCTCGGAGGATGTCCACCTGCTGGCTTAGGCCCACTCCCTGGGGAATCGGGCCCAAGCTGGCAATCAGACATCCCTCTGGCAGCCCGGCAGCCCTCAGGGGATGTCCACTTGCCAGCAAGGAGCAGGCCTAAGCTGCAGTCGGACATCCTTAGCGCTGCTGAGGAGGCGGGAGAGGCTCCCACCACCACCACTGTACTGGCAGTCGTCAGCCTGGCTTGTGGCTGAGCAGAGCTCCCCCTGTGGGAGCACACTGACCACCAGGGGGTAGCTCCTGCATTGAGAGTCTGCCCCCTGGTCATCAGTGTGTGTCATAGTGACCAGTCATTCCCAGTCGTTCTGCTGTTATGGTCAGTTTGCATATTACCTTTTTATTATATAGGCTAGAGGCCTGGTGCATGGGTGGGGGCCGGCTGGTTTGCCCTGAAGGGTGTCCCGGATCAGCGTGGGGGTCCCGCTGGGGTGCCTGGCCAGCCTGGGTGAGGGGCTGATGGGTGTGTGCAGCTGGTCATACCCCTTTCAGGGTGGGAGTCCCCACTGGGGTGCCTGGCCAGCCTGGGTGAGGGGCTGATGGCTGTTTGCAGGCTGGTCAAGCCCCCCCATCCAGTGAGGACCCTCACCCCATGGAGGTTTGGCCAACCTGGGTGACAGCTGATGGCTGTTTTCAGGCTGGCCACACCCCCTTTAGGGTGGGGGGTCCCCACTGGGGTGCCTGGCCAGTCTGGGTGAGGGGCTGAGCGCCGTTTTCAGGCTGGCTAAGCCCCCTGGTGACGTAAGCTCCCAGCCTCTTCTTTTTTTCTTTTTTCTTTTTAATTCTGGGATTTATTTACCTTCTATAATTGAAATTTTGTAGTCTTGAGAGGAGCTCAGAGCCGGCCAGGGTGGGCAGGAGGGAAGCTTGGCTTCCTCCATCGCCAGGGGCAACCAAGCCTCCTGCTCGCTCCAGCTCCGTGGCCATGGCCGGCTGAAAGCAGGTATCTGGGGTTTATTTATCTTCTATAATTGAAACTTTGTTGCTTTGAGTGGAGCTCAGAACTGGCTGCAGCAGGCGGGAAGCTTGGCTTCCTCCATCACTGGAGCAACCAAGCCTCCTGCTCGCTCCAGCTCCATGGCCACGCTGGCTGAAAGCAGGTATCTGGGGTTTATTTACCTTTTATAATTGAAACTTTGTTGCCTTGAGAGGAGGTAGCAGCCAGCCGGGAAGCTTGGCTTCCTCCATCATTGGGGCAACCAAGCCTCCTGCTCGCTCCAGCTCCATGGCTGCCGGCCGCCATCTTGGTTGGGTTAATTTGCATATAGTCGCTCTGATTGGCTGCTGGGCGTGGCTTAGCATGTAGCAAAGGTATGGTCAATTTGTATTTTGTCTTTTATTAGTGTAGATGGCTTAATGAGACTTAAGCATGGGTAAGTATAAATTATATAAATTTTAATTTCCCATCTGATTAAACGTGTGTGAAATGCCACTAAATTGACAGCAGAGAGTGTTTTAAAAGCAAATCCACAAGGAAGAAAAAATAGAAGAGATAACAGCTGTCAATTTTTGAAAACCAGAATTCAGACAGATACTTTGTAGTCTTAGCAAACCTGAGAAAACTAATCATGGACTAGTAGTGAGAAATTGGAGAAGCACTTGATTTATATTTCAGAATCTCCAAAAGTTTTGATAATTGCTTAATTCCAGGTACCTCTGGAAGTGGAAGTGAAGCTAAACATAGTAGAAGTGGTTAAAAGTCTGCTGCAGAAGCAGTTAGAGCCCTTACGTCTCCTTCCCCAACCCAAGCAGGAGATTGGAGGTTCACCATTTGGAGAGGGTAAAACAGAGGGCCTCTGGGCTGGAGAACACAGGCATTGCTGAGGGTGGGCTGCTGTGGTGCAAGCACGGAGGAATTGAATATCCTGAACTTGGGGCATTGCAGCCTTTCCTTCCACTCAGCTCCCAGAACATCGACTGCTGGGTGCTTGTCTTTTTGGCAGATCAGAAGTGCCTTCTCTGGGGAATCTGACCACCCTAAGAAAATGAACCCAAAGATACTGACTAGGGGAACCCCAGTGAAACTGCCCAGCCACTGAAGACAGTTGTGAATCCCCACCTCTGCACACAGAACTTTCCACCAGCTGTTAGTCTCCTACTTTTAAATATAAGAGACAATGAAATATCTCTGTTCATTTGAGAAAAGGAGCTAATATGAAAGAGAAATGAGGAGAACTGGGAATAAAGGAACTTGCAAGAAACAGACCAGAAGAAAACAAAAAAACTATCAATATCTTCAGAAGGATAAAAATAGATATTGCATCCATAAAACAAGTATAGAATGCTCTTAAAAGGAACATTTGAGAACAGCAAAGAGTTTAGGATTATAAAAATGATAATAGAAATGAAAGATTCTAGAGGAGGGTTGAAAATAACAATTGAAGAAATTTCCCAGAAAATAGATTATGAAGTTAAAGAGATGGAAAATAATAGAGAAAATATAAGAAAATTAATTGACAGCCCAGGAGATCCAACACTGTAATAATAAGAGTTCCAGAAAGAGAAAATGGGGTCGTGGGAGGAGAGGCTGGGGAAATCAACAAAGGAATTATTGAAGAAAATTGTTCAGAACTGAGAGATGTATGAGTTTTTAAGATTGAAAAGATCCATCAAATGCCCAATCCTGTGGCTAAAAATAGATCCAAACCAAGCACAAAAATGTGAAGTTTCAGACCTGGAGAGAGAAACTCCTATAAGCTTCTAGAGAGAAAAAACAGACTTCATATAAAGAAGCGTGAATTAGAATGGAAACACTGGAAGTTAGAAGACAATGAAGGCAATGCCTTTTGAGCAAAAATATTTTCCAATTTAAAATTCAAAATGGCCAAATAAGAAAGGAGGTAGCTATCAGGCATTCAAAGTTTCAAAAAATACACCCTTTCACAGGAGCTACTGGAGGATGTGGTCCTCCGGAACAAGGAAATAAACCAGGAAAGAAGATGTGAAATGCAGGAAACAGGGGGCCCAAGCAAAGAGATGCCTAACAGATGGTAAAGGGAGACCCCAAGGATAGTGCAGTAGTCCAAACTAGAGCAGGTCAGAAGGCTCTGGGAGCGATGTCTGCAAACAGTTGAAATTGAGAAAATACCCCTTCTGTTTGAGCATCATGAGAAGAGATTTATGCAACATAAAGTGGGTTTGGGATTGAGTTAGTGACAGCTGTGTAGAAGACAAGCAAATCAAAAAATAATGCAATGATCAACTCCAAGAAAAACAAGAATATTGTATTGGAAAGAAAAAATAAATTATAGTGGACTACATGGCTTAGCTATGAAGAGCTTTTACATAGCAATCCAAACTCCAAAAAGTTCTCTATCCAAAATTAGTTTCTACCTCTATTGATAGGACAGGAGGGAAAAGGGGGATGGGAAAAGAGGAAATGGGAGTAGTAGAGATGGGGCATGAATGGGAGAGAAACTTTTCATTGTGTACCTTTTTATATTTTTTCATGTTTGAACAATGGAAATGATTTTCCTAAACCAAAAGAACTTTTAAAATGAAAATTATTTAATACTAGAGGCCCGGTGCACAAAAATTTGTGCACTGGCGGGGGGCGGTGTCCCTCAGCCCCACTTGTGCCCTCTCACAGTCTGGGACCCCTCGGGAGATAACGACCTGCTGGCTTAGGCCTGCTCCTGGGTGGCAGAGGGCGGCCCAATCCCTAGGTGCAGCCCCTGGTCGGGCTCAGAGCAGGGCCGATTGGGGAGTTGAGACGCCGCCCCCTGTCATGCACAGAGCAGGGCGGATCGGGAGGTTGCAATGCCACCCCGAATCACGCTCAGGGTAGGGCCAATTGGGGAATTGGGGCACCACACCCTGTCACACTCAAGGCAGGGTCGATGGGAAGGTTGTGGCGCCACCCCCTGTCATGCACAGAGCAGGGCTGATCAGGGGGTTGGGGCGCTGCCCCATGTCATGCACAGAGCAGGGCCAATCAGGGGGTTTGGGCACTCCCCCGTCACACTCAGGGCAGGGTCGATGGGGAGGTTGCAGCTCCACCCTGTCACACACAGAGCCACAGGGCGATCAGGGGGTTGGGGAGCTCCCCCCTATCAGGCACAGAGCAAGGCCGATCAGGGGGTTGGGGCGCCTTCCCCTGTCACAAACAGAGCAGGGCAGATAGGGAGGTTGTGGCCCCGCCCCCTGTCACACACAGAGCCTCAGGGCGATCAGGGGGTTTGGGCGCTGCCCCCTGTCACACTGCTCCAGGGGCCAGAAGGCCTCGCAGCTCTGCTTGACACCGGGACAGTGAGGCCTTGCTGCTCCGCTGATCCCAGTGCTGGGAGGCTTCGAGGCTCCACTTGACACTAGAGCAGTGAGGCCTCGCTGCTCCGCTGATCCCGGTGCTGGGAGGCCTCCCTGCTCCGCTGATCCCGGTGCCAGGAGGCCTCGCGGCTCCGCTGATTCCGGGTTCAGGAGGCCTCACGGCTCCGCTGATCCCGGTGCTGGGAGGCATATTACCCTTTTACTATATAGGATAGAGGCCTGGTGCACGGGTGGGGGCCAGCTGGTTTGCCCTGAAGGGTGTCCTGGATCAGGGTGGGGGTCCCACTTGGGTGCCTGGCCAGCCTGGATGAGGGGATGATGGCTGTTTGCAGCTGGTCACACCCCCTTTAGGGTGGGGGTCCCCACTGGGGTGCCTGGCCAGTCTGGGTGAGGGGTTGAGGGCCGTTTTCAGGCTGGTGGGCGACTGAAGCTCCCAACCTCTCCTTTTTTTCTTTTTTTCTTTTATTCTGGGATTTATCTACCTTCTATGGCTGTCACTGGAGCTGAGAGCCGGCTTTAGCTCTGAGGCTCGGCTCCAGCTTGAGGCCTCGGCTGCTGAAAGCAGGAATCTAGGGTTTGTTTGGGTTCTATAATTGCAACATTGTTTCGGTCCTGCTGCTCCAGCTCTGACTGCTGAAAGCATGTATCTGGGTATTTTTTAGCTTCTATAATTGCAACATTGTTTTTTAGAGAGCAGCTCACAGGCCGGCAAGGCAGGTGGGGAACCTTGGCTTCCTCCATCACTGGAGCAAGCAAGCCTCCTGTTCGCTTCAGCTGCCTGGCTGCCGGCCGCCATCTTGGTTGGCAGTTAATTTGCATATCACCCTGATTAGCCAATGGGAAGCATGTTGGAGGTACGGTTAATTACCATGTTTGTCTATTATTAGATAGGATTTGTCATAGACTTTTCAAAAGCTGATTTTCATAAAAATGTGCTTTTATTCCCCCCCTTTTTTTCCTCTTCAGAAATTAAAACTCAGAGCACGTGGTTGTTCACCTGATATCAGACAAATAGACCTTGATGTCAACCGCACATTTAGGGACCATATTATGTTTAGAGACAGATACGGTGTTAAGTAAGTAAATTTTAATATCATGCATTGTAAATAGCCTTTGTAAGTAGTCTGAATCAAAATCTTTATTAACTTAAAATGTGAGTGTTAGAATGCCTCCTAAAGACTAATCTTCATTCATGTTCTGAAATTTTACACTTTGCAGATCATTTGGTTCATGTTGTGTGAAACTTAGGTTCAAAGTTAACTTAAACTTTTAAATTTTTTACATAGTTGGTGCTATAAAAATTGTTAAAGAATCATTTTATGATGTGTGAATTCTTAAAAATATGGCACTTTATTAAAAGTCTTAGAAAAGAAATGATAGATTGTGTTGCTTTTCGAGAACTGTGTCAGTGATAAATATATCCCTATAACTATGACCTCATATGGAGATGAAACTAAAAAAACTTTAGTTAGATGAATGAATGAAATGACTATGACAGTTATGAATGAAAGGTATAGTTTTGCTGACCTCTATATTGGTTAGGGTTCAACCAGAGAAACAGAAACCAATAAAAGATATACAGGTTGTCCCCAAAAATGTATATACACTTTAATAGCTGATAGTTCAATTTTGAAAATGAAATGTATTTTAATAAACACTGCCTTTATAATTATTCAAACTGTGTATATATTTTGGGGGGACACACTATATATTAAAGAGAATTATTGTGAGGAATTGGCTTACACAGTTTTGGGGCTGACTAGGCAGGTCTGAGGTCCAAAGGGCAGACTGGGACTCTTGGGCATGAGCTGAAGCTGTTGACACAGGAGGAATTTCCTCTTCAGAGAAGCCACAGATCTGCTCTTACAGCCTTTTAGCTGATTGAATCAGGCCCACCCAGACTATCTAGGATGATCTGCTCTACTTAAAGTCAACCAATTATAGATTTCAACCACATCTGCAAAATACCTTCTTTATAGCAACACCTATTGTAGTCTCACCATGTTGACAAAGTTGACCATCACAGTCAACCCTTGTCAATTTAATTTCCATATAAAGACAATAACAAAGTTATACCTTGCCCTGACTGCTTATGACTGAATATGTTAACTCTTTCCCCGAAAAGGATGTCTGTTTACTGTTCTGCTTTAATATTCTATCAGCTAATTACTATGATATAAAATTAACTGTTGTTACTATATCTCATACGGTGACAAGGAAAAAGAGAAGGAAGAAAAAATATTTTTAACATATACAAACATATACCAAAATAAGAAAAATATACTAATTTATAATCTTTATTTTTGCGATTGGGCATGTGGTCAGAGCTGGTTTATAACTCTTTCCACTATCCAGTCCCTAATTCCTTTTCCCTCAGCAAGTACCTCCGCTAGCTGTGGTTATGCACCTGGTGAGGTGACCTAAACCTTTATTCCTGAAAGATCTCGACCATTAGCAACCCATCCTGAATTGGATTGTTGTAGTTTGCTATTGACTTGAATCACAAGTTTTGGTAATGCTAACATCCTAAATGTCCTATATTTTAGACATACTCTTCCTCATGTCCATTATGTAGTAGCAACTCAAATTCCCCTCAATAATCAGGATCAGTCATCCCAGCCACTTTTTGCCTTTTGATTCAGAGGCAAGAGGAGCCCAAAGTATCTGGGTGGCAGTCTGAAATTCCAGTTCAGTGGAATCGTTGTGTTTCCTGGTAGAAGCCTTCCTCTCTTTGGAACTAAGACCTCTAGACTGCCAGAGAGCCTAAGGTTGATGAGAAGGGAAACAAACATTTTGCTAGTAAAATACCAGAGATAATAGTGGGTGGAGCCCTTCCCACTTCCACCCCTTCAGGCTTGGACCCCTGGATCCTGGCTATGGGAGACAGCACCATATATTGCAGGCTGATTTAAAGCATATACAACCTCCTGGAAGACATTGCTCAGCCTTACAGTTTTGTACACCTAGCTGGCTGGCACTGTAACTGAGGCCATTCCATGGTTCTGTAGGGTCAGTTGCTTCCATGGGGATGATTTTATAGTGAGAATAGTTCAGTGAAAGAAGGCAACGAATTTAAGTAATTGTGAAACCTATTGTGTTTTTTGGCATAAATTCTTTCTATCAAAATGAATGTTATCTAACTCAAATTTATACCATATAGAAATTGTTAAAATTTGAGCTTGGGATCATTTCTTTATTATATTAGTAATTTTATGTGGATTATCTGTTTTCAGTCAACCTATTTTTTTAAGTTTATAATTTTTAAAATGTGTGAAATAACTAGGTTGTGTTCAATATGAATTTTTTCCCCCCACTTCTAGGCAACAGTCCCTGTTCCATGTTCTTGCTGCATATTCTATTTATAATACGGTAAGTTGGAGCATGCCTGCCTGTAGCTCTTTGGGGAGTATTCTGAGGAACAGGAGAATCTTTCCGCACTCCCTTCCTAACAAGGCCCTTTGGGCTGAGTTTCTTCATGTCAGAACTAGATGGTCTCCACAGCCTTTGATCTCTGCGGATCTCTTCAGGGCTCCTTACAATGACCCTGGGTCTAGAGCAAAGCTGATTTGGAAATGGGAAAAATCACAGCATATCAGTGAATCTCACTTTTTCCCTCTTTCTCCAGCCTGTTTGTTTTATTATTTTTGTGTTGTTGTTTGTTTTTATTTTAAGCAAACAGGACTGGGAATGACCAGCGGTAGAAGGACAGGAAGTTGGTAGCTAGATTAATTTTTGCTTTGCACTTTATCCATTCAGTACTGCCTGTGCCTACTTGCTATTCCAAAGAGCAGGCTAAGACTAACCTTTCTGGTAATGGAACATGTTGTTCTTAAAAGGTATTTATCATTCTGGGGGAGATAATAATTTTAGGCAAGATCAATTAAGGTTGAGCCTAATTTGGATGTTAAGTAAATGCTTGTTGACTAGGTTTCAGGCAGGACAGCCTTAGACCTTGAGATATGTCATTTTTATTATGATGAAAACCTTTAAGTTACAAGGGACAGAAATCCCAAACTAGGACAAGTTTAAAAGGAGTTTATTAAAGGGACTTCTCATAGAAATGAAGCAGTAGTTGGACCTCCTGGGGGTTGAAGCTGGTGCGAAGCCATCGGTGAGAAAGAGCTACACTTTTTCTCTCTTCCTCTTGAGCTGACTCTGATTACCTCTGTAAACTGTTTATTCCAGTATTTCTCTCTCCAGTTGCTTTCTTTGCCTACTTATCAGTTTTTCCATGGCTAAAATTGCATCCACAGACTCACCGTAACCGCTCTATTCAAGGACATACTACCATCTGGTTACAGTCTCTGGCTTCATTCAGATTTCCTGGAAAGAGTTTGTGATTAGCCAGTGCAGCCAATTAATTGTTCCCCTGGGGTCAGATGTCCTCTTCTGCTCCATCAGCTTTGGTTCATGTACATCTACGGCCACTTGATGAGCAGGGGACATGGGGAGAGTGGGCAGTTCTCAGAGAAGGGGCACAGGCTGCAAATGTGTGTACATAAAGGTCCAGAAATCTAGAGAAGGCCGGACAGTGAACTGGGAACTGTAGGAGGAGAGAGATTTGCCAGCATCTGAGCAAAGAGGAGGAATATTGAGCTGAGAATCATACATAAAAAGAAAAACAAACAAACAACTGCTAGTGCTCTTTACAGAAGGTATAACAGTATTGAACAGTATTACCCCAGAGTATATTGTTGGCATTTTAAAAAAATTAGATTCAGACTTTGTTCATACCTCTACATTTATTCTTGAACACAATTTTATTCTTTCATAGTATGTGGCTCAGTACTATGAAGATGTTAATATTTTTCTGTGGAATTGCTCATTCAAGAATGTATTTAGGCATTTTCTGATTATTTTATAGGTCAGTTTTATAAGTGCATATGCATGTAATTTGATCTTAAAACCCCCAGTTTCTTTGTTCTCATTTGCTCTTCAGGAAGTTGGATACTGTCAGGGGATGAGCCAGATCACAGCTTTACTCCTTATGTATATGAATGAAGAAGATGCCTTCTGGGCCCTGGTCAAACTCTTCTCAGGCCCCAAACATGCCATGCATGGTAAGAAAGCCCCATAGTTATCCTATCTAATAAAGAGGAAATATGCTGATTGACCCTCATGGGGGTCAATTAGATGATGGCACCCACAGCCAATAAGGAGGGAATATGTTAATTGACTGCCCCACCTCGAAAAGATGGTGGCACCCACAGCCACAAGATGGCCATCAGGGGAGGGAAGTTGTGGGTGACTAGGCCAGCAGGGGAGGGCAGTTGGGGGCGACTGGGCCGGCAGGGGAGGGCAGTTGGGGGCGACCAGGCCAGCAGGGGAGGGAAGTTGGGGGCGATCGGGCCGGCAGGGGAGGGCATTTTGGTGCGATCATATGGCAGGGGAGCAGTTAGGCGTTGATCAGGATGGCAGGGGAGTGGCTAGGCGGTAATCAGGCTGGCAGGCAGAGCGGTTAGGGGCAATCAGGCAGGCGAGTGGTTGGGAGCCAACAGTCCCAGACTGTGAGAGGGATGTCCCCCGAGGGGTCCCAAATTGGAGAGGGTGCAGGCTGGGCTGAGGGACGACCCTCCCTCCCCCAGTGCATGAATTTCATGCACCGGGCCTCCAGTCATAAATAATAAGCAAGGGAGAGTGAAAGAAGGTAAATTAAAGCACGGACTTTGGAAGATGCTTGGAAGAGTTAAGTACAAAAACTCACTGTCTGGGGGCTTATTCGGTTAATTAGTGTTTGTTACTAATTTTTTATTTCACTCTTCTTTATTGAACTCTTCTAATTTTTTTCTGTTCACATTTATATTCCTTTGTGTTTAGCCCAGAGTATATTGTTGGCATTTAAAAATTCTTTTTTTTAATTGCCCCTCCAATCAGAATAAACTAATTTATGTTTGGAGGAATTTAGAAAAGCTGTATTATTGGGAGAAATAAAAGATGCCTTTTGATCAAAACTTTTAAATAGTCATACAATTATCATTTCAGTGAACTGTTTATTATTGACTGGATATTGTGATATATAACTCTTTGTCAAAGAATAGTGATTGAAAAATGGTGCTTAAAGTGTTTAAAGAAAAGGTACATAAGAACTAAGTAGTTTTGTAACAAGTGTATGTTCTAGTTTTTTCAGCTGTAAAATTGATTCCATTTTACATAAAAGGTTGGTAACACATTCTGGATACTTTTTTTTTAAGTTATAAGATTGATTTTAATAACCATGTCCTTTTCTTTGCGAAGCATATGCAATGAATTTTATTTAAGAATTTGGATTCCAACTTGTCTTGGAAATAAAAGTGACATATGTCCCAAATAGTGCAAAATTATTTTCCCAGTGCCATTCATGTGATAATACCAAATAAAAGCAAAATCTAACACCAATCACTCCAAGAATGGGTCATGTAAGTTCTGTTGGTGAATATTTAAACCTATATTCTGGGGAACCTGCCACATGTTTAAAGTGACATTTTAACATGACCTTCCATAGTTCACAGTTTATTAAATCTCACATGACCTCCCATAGTTTATAGTTTATTAAATCTCACATTCTTACTATGTGGTTGGCTGGGGTGTATTTTGTATGTGTGTGTACGTGCACATGTGCACTCATGTGTGTTAGCATTTGGCTATTTCCTTCAGTGTCCCTTGTGTATTTTTAAAAGATAAATACTATATTTATGGCAACTGTTTCTGGACACTCTGCACCCCATGAACAGACTCCAAAAGTCTGACATATTACATTGAACTGCCATTCAATAGCATGATTTAAAAAGCATCTTGAAGGAAAAATAACTGCCTGTCAGTCTTTATTTTGCTTTACCATGGGATGGTGTTGCTGATATATGTTGAAATATAGTGGAATGTTATAATTTAAGTATACATAAATATGTAGAAGACTGCCCTATTTTAGAAAAGTTATTTTTTTGCATTTCATATATGGAAGTATCATTTATAAATATATACAATAAAGTGAGGGCTGAAGAAATGAGATTTAAAATATCAAGTCTGGGATATCACTGAAAAGTGAAGGAATATTAGGTATCTTTGCTAGTACTTGTTATTGAAGGGCAGTACTTTTAAAATACAGACTTCTTGAGATTCTTCCAGTTTCCATCACTATCAAATTGACCATGAAAGTGGCACAGACAGAGATATGGATTTTTTAATGAAATCATTTCACTGGAAAATATTACTAGGGAAGTAATAGAATCTCTGTGGAAATTTTTACACACACCTTAGAAAACAGAATTAGTTATGAAATAGCCCTTCCCCAGAATATATAAAGCAGTGTTTCCCAAAAGTGTGTGAGGAACATAGTTTTACTTTGGGAAACAGATGTTTTGTGGGGTAAAAACGGTTTTCAAGATCAAATAAGTCTGGGAGACTGAGTTAAGCAAAGAAAAATGTTTCTGTAGTCTATAAAACAACTGAGAAACTTTAAGAAGCTCATACATCAGGAATATCTAGGGAGGGCATATGTAACAGACAGCGTTTGCCCTGGATTCTTTTTTCAAAAACAATATTAACATCTTTCAAAGTTACATACCCAGGTTGTTAAATACAAAATGGAAAAATTGTGAATCCATTAAGTGTATATCCTTTTTAGTGGAATGTGTAGAATATCTGAAAGAAAACTTGTGAATAAAAATAGATGTAAGGTTCCATGAATTAAATACACAAAATTAATACTGACTATTTACAATTAGTTGCCATCTAGAAATTTTATACATTACTAGAGGCCCAGTGCACAAAATTTGTACATTGGTAGGATCTCTAGCAGCTGGCGGCAACCAGCTGGGGCCTCCCTCCCTTCCCCCAGCCAGCCCCACCCCCTGGTCAAACTCTCAGTTGAGGGGATAATTTGTATACTATGGTTTTATTATATAGGGTATTGTATAATCAGTTGGGATAAAATTCCATTTTTGATATAACATTGATCACATAGTGCCAATGTTTTTATCTGCTGTTAAATATCACTTATAAAAAGATTAAAAGTGCTAAAAACTTTGGAAGCATGATACTAATTAAATTGTTAAGAGTAAATCTTGAAAAAGTAATGAAATGTTTGTTGTGTAATATATTAACAGTAAAACAAAATGATAAGAAATCAGAGTTAGAATAACCTATAAAAATTTGCACATTAAAGATATGGCCCAGTACTTTAAGAGAACAAATAATCTTGATAAATGACTTCAGTTTTCATTTTTTCTTAGCTTCTTCGTTTTCCTTTTAATTCAGAAATATTCTGTTCACTGGTTATAGGAGATCTTTAAAAAACAAATACTGTGCTACAGGGTTTTATTAATCAAAGCTCATACACAATTATTTTTTTGGTGGGGAGGAAAAATATTTTGGTAACTACTGGATTTATTTTTTGTTATTGACAGTTAAAAATGAAAAAAAGATTGTATTTTAAAATAGGAATCTTTATTGGTCTTATTTAAGAAATATTATTTTTATGTTTGTATTCTAGGCTTTTTTGTCCATGGTTTTCCTAAACTCTTGAGGTTTCAAGAACATCATGAAAAAATACTGAATAAATTTCTGTCCAAGCTTAAGCAACACTTGGTAGGTAGACGTGACATTGACTTAAACCCACTTACACCAAGAATAAAGCTAGCAGAATTGAGTGCAGCCTTTGGTCCCAATTACCTTATCAATTTATGTTGTTGTCCATTTCATTTAGTATGCAGTTATAATTCCCAGTTGTTTAAAGAACATTGGGTTTGTGAAATTTAATATTGATCAACTATCACAGCCCTCACTCAAACTTCTTTGAAGCTATGATATTTCAGTAATTTTGAAGGCATTTTTTTAAAAAGATTTTTAGTGATATTTTAGAGAGAAAGAAAGGGAGAGGGAGAGATAGAAACATCAATATGAGTGAAACATTGATTGGCTGCCTCCTGCACGCCCCCTAGGAGGGATTGAAATGGCAACCTGGGCATATGCCTTGATCGGGAATCAAACCACTAATCTTTCAGTAAACGAGATGATACCCAACCAACTAAGCCACACCGGCCAGGGCTTGAAGGTGTTTTTATTGCACAAAAAATATTTTAAAGGTCATATAAACTCATCCTTAGTGAACCATATATATGATCTATGATAAAAAACAGTAGTTTAGTAAAGCAAAGGTACTTCACTATAAACTATATTAAAGAGAATCAAAATGTTGTATTACAATCCTGTCATAAGAAGCATTTGATTTTCAAAAGTAAAAAATGAGAGAGGAGAGGAAACAAAAAGAGAAAAAATAGAAATCCTCCAGCAACATGAAAAAAGATTTGTAATGAAATGGTTTTATGTGTAGCTTTGACAGCCAACCCCCTACAGCTTTTGTAACTTTTAGTGTTATATGTCATGTTTTGTTTGCCACAATCCAGAAATTATGAAGTCTCTGTTTTTTCAGGATTCTCAAGAAATCTACACAAGTTTTTACACAATGAAATGGTTTTTTCAATGTTTCCTTGATCGTGTGAGTATTTATTTACAAAACCCAATCATGAAATTATAAATATAAGACAGGGAAAACTATTAATCTTATTTCTTTTTTGTTTTTAATTATAGACTCCCTTTACGCTAAACCTCAGAATATGGGATATCTACATCTTTGAAGGAGAACGAGTTCTTACTGCTATGTCTTATACAATCTTAAAATTACACAAAAGTAAGAAAATGTTTAAAGATTTCACAAAAATCTAGTCATGTTTTAACTCTGAGTTCTCATTTCCTACTCAACTTCATTTTCTTTTAGTAGAGATTTTTAAAAATTCCTGAAAATCAGTGAACAAATTATCTTCAGTTGATAATTTACTTTCATTGGTTCTTATGAAGAAGTTTACTTCATTGCAAAGGTCTTTGATTCTTTTCTCTATATCAGTTTCATTTTCATACTTAAACAGTAGAATGCAATGTGCTGGTTTTGCTAATAATACTAATAATCTTATTAAGTATTTGTTTTCACTGGGACCCTGTTCTTTTCATCAGTCTGAATCTCAGCTTTGTAATAAGAGAGGAGGGAGACCAAAGAAACCAGGCGCCTTAGTCTAAAGGTCTAGAGAGGATATTTTCCATTACTGTTTCTTTTATCCAGGAAGAAAAGCATCCAGCTCCTAGGTGTAGACAAGAGATGGGGACACTCTAGCTCATCTATCTGCTTGGCTGCATTGTGGCCTCTGGGGCAAGCATGGTCCATGTCTATAGTTGCCTAAATGCAACAAGGCTTTAAAAAGTCTGCAGTTGCAATATTTTTAGGGCTCAGTAAATTTGATGTGCTATGCCTTGTTTAAAATCAAGAAATGAGAGTTTTTCTTCATAAAATGAAGAACCTTATTCATCTTAATGTCTCAATTCAACCTTAAAAATTATGACTCCTTTTGTAACTTGGGGAGAAGAGAATCACTGAAAGCTTTAGAATTGCATGTGCACTTCTAATTAGGCCATACAACATAGTTTTATGTTCATTGTATTCACTCTCATATGTTGTTTTCAAATGAGTCACCTGTTTAGCTTCCCAACTAAATTATAATCTAACTAGGGGCCCAGTGCATGAATCCGTGCACCTTAAAAGGAACTGTGGGCCGCAAGGCTGCGGTGGGCACAAGGGCAGGTCTCCGCCCATCCTCTGTGCCTCCACCCGGCCCTTTCTGCCGTAGTTCCCTGCCCCCTGTCTGCTGGCAGCCCCGCTCCTGCTTCCGCCACTCCCACAAGCTGACGGTGTCAGCCCCGATTGCACCCGCTTACGGCGTGGAGCAATTGGGGCTGATGCCAGCAGCGGGTGCAAGAGGGGCCAGCACCAGCTGCAGGTGCGAGTGGTGGATGCTGCCCCTATTGCCCCTCAGGAGCAGGGGGAGGTGGAGAAGCCCTGAGGGGCAGTCAGGGCCAGCAGCTGCTGCTCGCACCTGCTGATGGTGCCTAGCAATCAGGGCCAGCAGCAGGTTTGAGCGGGGCCGGGGCCGGCACCGGCAGCAGATGCAAGCACCGGGTGGGACCAAGGTGCACAGGAGCAAGGAATTTTCAGTAACCAGCAGAGACTCGCCCCGATGATAGTGACGGTGCTCCACCTTGGTTTGGTGCCCCTTCTCACCTGCTCCACTATCCTGCTGCAGCCAACACCCCGCCATGTTCCACGCTCTGCAGCCTGCTGCTGATGCCTGCCATGTTCCGCGCGTGCCCTCTGGTGGTCAGTGCACATCATAGCAACCAGTTCCGTTTATTTACATATTATCCTTTTATTATAAAGGATTGAGTACTTGAGGTCATGTTTTGTAGTTTTTCCCATGCTGTGCTTAGCATTGTTCTAAGCACACATTAGATACTTTAATATAAGATTGTTTGTTTGCTTACCTGAAAAGCTAAACTTCATGAGCACCAGATTATCCAAACTTTAGACAGGAATGAAAATCCCCTTCAAAATCACATTTGTATTGTTTACTCTGAAAGAAAAGGATTCAGAAGTGTTGTGGTTTTGTTTCTCTTACACCCAGAACCTTACTCCCCCAACACACAAACCACAGCACCAACCAAAACAATTGACAATGAATTGTCTCCAAGACTGTCCTATAACCACAGGAAATCAATCAGTCTCCCTCAATTTCTCTCAATCTCTCTCTCCCTTTCTTCTTTCTGTATTATGAATTGACCAAGATATAAAACAAAAGTAAACTTTTTATTAAGATTTTAACTTAATAGTTTAATGTTCCCTAAACATGAGGAGTAGGAATATGAAGTTGCATTTCTCTATAGTGCTCCTCTCCCTCTTAAAGTATGTTTTATTTATATGTCTCTTGATTAATTTTCATAAGTAAAAAGTTTCATCACCCTTTGTAAATAAACTTTAAGTGTAACAATTACTTACTGTGCTATCATTTCAGTAGTCTAAAGCTGTGGAAAGAAGTCTGTCTGCTACTGTGTATTTTTTCTTAGGAAGAGAAAGCTCAAAGACTTACAGGAAGTTCATTCACTGCCATATAAAGCTTCAAAAACTGTGTCTGGGCCCTTAACCAATAGTTAGTTGAAGCTCCCAACATTTTCTCTAGGTTATTTCCCAGTTGCCTTAACACTATTGAGACATTGTTCCTGGAGGTTCACCACACAGTGGGTTTAACAGTAAAAAAAAGAGAGAGAAAAAAAGAAACTACTTAGGTGCCCAATATTAAAAATTATAGTACATTCACACAGTTAGTAATAATGATGGTGTACAATTATACTTGTTGAAATAAGGGATATCTGTGATATAGATTATTGAGTGGGGGGGAAACAAGGTGGCGTTATTTACTTTTTAAATTGATACACATGTGTACACATCTTCTTATAGGGCAGTTGCTATGGGATCTTAGCTCATTTTTACTTTGTTTTATATCTGTAATTTGAGTTTTCTCCTATAAAATTAATTTCATAAGTAGAAATATAAGTAAAATTAGTAATCCATATTTTTTTGAAATTCTGAAACAGTAAAATTATAGACCTAAAAGTGAGTTTGGAGGCCCATGTCAATAAAACAGAAAGATCTCATGTCATCGTAGGTGGTCTATGTCTGTTGTATCTAAGAAGCTCTTGCTCTGGATTAATATGAATGCCTAGGTATGGTTATTATTAAACCAATGAGAAGGTGTTTAGTCGTATTCAGTTCCTCATCCCCCACACTAAGAGTACCTGCTTTTCTCTGTGACTGTTTTGTCATACTGAATTTCAGTGATATTCGCAATACCATATTTAATTTGTTTGTTGTGCCCCTTTAAAAAAAATACTACACCAGAATAGAATACATTATCTTCTCAACCTAAAGTAGCTGTTGACATAGTATTTTATTTTGTCTTTTCTTAGAACATTTAATGAAATTGTCTATGGAAGAACTTGTAGAATTTCTTCAGGAGACCTTGGCAAAAGACTTTTTCTTTGAAGATGACTTTGTAATAGATCAACTTCAGATTTCTATGGCAGAACTAAAGCGGGCAAAATTAGACCTTCCAGAACCTGGTAAGAAATATCCAAACACTTTATCCAAATCATAATTATAATTGGGAAATACGGCACAGTTAACACGGGCCATTTCTGTTTCAAACATAATTATTATACATGCTTGTGATGATGTACTGTAAATCAGTGTTTTACCAGCTGTTTATGACTTTATTCTATTTTAAGAAAAAGCAAATAAATGTATTAATTAAATCTGCATTTCCTAATAGAATAACTGTACTATCCCTACTTAAATTTAGCAAGTTTGGTTGACAAGTAATATTATTCAACAGAAATAACCATATAGCTTTAAAATAGCATAACAATAAGCTCTTTTTACTCTCATCATTTCAATTTATGAAACCATATGCAATTACAGAGCAAGTAAGGGTCCTATTTTATAGAAGAGGAAACTGATACTAAAATGCTTATAAATGAAGCTACAGGACCAGCAGAAAGCATTATTCACAATAGAGTCCAAGTTTTCTGACTATTAATCCAGGGCTCTTTGCAGTGTACTACACTGTAAGATGATATATTTTATTTACTTTCTAGAGGCCCAATGCACAAAATTTGTGCAAGGGGCTTAGCCCGTGCCACTACCGCGGCTGCCTCTGCCTCAGCCCCCCCCACCGCTGTGACTTCATCTGGAAGGTTGTTTAGTCTAATTAGCATATTACACTAATATTATTATAGATTTCAAGACATCTTCTAGTACCTCCTATTGGGTTTCCTGCTAGGTGTTATGAGGGATGAACAGCTGAAAAGAAAGACATGCTTCTTGTTTTGAGGGTACACACAGGAGAAATGGGATTTACACAAAGATAAATAGATTATGAAGGGGTAATAATAGAGCTAGATAAATACAGTGGGGCCTTGACTTACGAGTTTAATTCGTTCCGTGACGGAGCTCATAACTCGAATTACTCGTATGTCAAATCACTGTGACGTTCGCTGCGCCAACTAGCGGTGGGGTATCTGAAGCTGGCTCATAACCCGAATTTTTTTGAGCTTGCAACTCAAAGCCAAAAATCGGCTGAGAGACGGCTCGTATCTCAAAAAAACTCGTTAGTCGGGACACTCGTAAGTCAAGGCCCCACTGTATAGGATACATGGGGAAGGATCCGAGGAAGGGGAATGGAGGATGAGTGGGAAGAACAAAGGAAATGTAGAACTATCACAGTAGGAATAACTTTTAAGAGTTTTGACTAGATATTACTTGACAATAAGTTATTCTGCCCTTTCCTTTCCTTACCTTTGTTGCATGGATGGGTGTGGGAAGGGAGCCGGGAAGTGGAAGACAATGGTGATAGATGAAAAGTAAATGTGGTCAGTTATGTAAGACCTCAGGTGCAGTTGGATTTAGCATTTCCAATCAATGTGACCCATACTTGGATGTCTCCTTGGATGTGTGTGTACAGAAAAAGCAGAAATATATTCATGAACAAGCATATCTTTTCGCCTTTGGTGAAAACCAAGATGCTCTGCTTTTAGTTATTAAAGGGGTCTAATCATTAGTGTTTCTCTGAAGTTTGTCTGGGTCATCAGGGTTCAGTGGAAAACAAAACATTACAGCAGTAATTGAGCATGGGCACAGAAACCATCACCTTTTCTAAGTGAGGTCAGTCCTCTCTTGTTCAGTATGATAATGTCCAATTTCTACTGATTCTTCCTTGTAGCAGGAATGCATTTGGAACACAATTACTAACTACATCCTTTCTACTTTAATATTTATTTTTAAGTATCTTGGCTACTTTTTAAAAAGAGTTTAAGGCAAGTTTTAGTAAAAGTAATATAGAGAAAAATGCATAGAGTAGAACTGTCTAAACATGGGAATGAAATATCAAAATCTATGTAATTCAGCAGCTAATCTTTATTGAATACTTACTGTGTTCCACCTACTACATGGACTATCTCAATTATTCCCTAAACATAACTTAAAAGGAAGTATTTGTCTTCATTTTACACATGAGGAATCTTGCAGTCCTTTCTAAGATCTCCTCACTAGGAAATGGTAGAATGGGGATGGAGAGTGGGACAGGGGGTTAAGGGAGAGCTATAGATAAATAAGACCAGAAACATTGGCTCTGTTTTGCTCTGATCATGCTGGCAGTTAAGGTTGAACATGGTCAGGTGGCTGTGCACTTTCTACTACAACAATCTCTTTTTCACCTATACGTCTACATTTCCTTTTGGACTTTTTGCCTTGAAGCCTGCCTATTGTTACCTCTTTACATTTTGTAAGCTAAAATGGAACATTAAAATAATTAGATGAACATTATAACAAGAAATTTTAGTATCACATCTATAGTTTTTTTTCTAATCTTTATTGTTTAAAGTATTACATATAGTATTACATATGTCTCCTTTTCCCCCCATTGACCTCTCCCTGGCCACTTCCACCCCCCAGCACATGCCCTCACCTCCATAGTGTCTGTGTCCATTGGTTATGCTTATATGCATGCATACAAGTCCTTTGGTTGATCTCTTACCATTCCCTCTCCCCGCCTTCCCTCTGAAGTTTGACAGTCTGTTGGATACTTCTCCGTCTCTATGTATTTTTGTGTGTGTGTGTTGTTATTTTCCTGGTTTTGGAAATTAACAAAAACAATTTAAACAGTTTAAAAACAGTGAAAATCTTCTCAGAAGTCTGTGAGTTTTAAAGTTGACATAATTACAAAAGTAAGACACAAGTGTTATAAAAAAACTAGGGGCCCAGTGCATGAATTTGTGCACTTTGAAAGGAACTGTGGGCCACGAGGCTATGGTGGGCACAGGGGCGGGTCTCAGCCCATCCTCCGTGCCCCTGCCCAGCCCCTCCTGCTGTGGCCTTTCCTCCCCCCATTCCCTGTCTGCCGGCAGCCCCACTCTGGCTGCTGCTGCTTCCCTCTGCTGATGGCGCTGGGTCCTGCTTGCACTTGCTGACACGCCTGATGGTCCACACACGTCATAGCGACCGGTTGTTCCGCCATTTGGTCTATTTGTATATTAGCCTTTTATTATTTAGGGTTCAAGCCATACCAAATATGCAGGGTAAAACATTACAGTTCTCTATTCACCAATGCAACTTTTCATCATCAGTAACTTGGTGGGTATCAGTCCACATTCTTTTCTATGTTGTCATATAAAGGCATCACACTAATTAGTGTTGTTATACTTATTTGAAAACTAAAGGCCAGGTGCACGAAATTCGTGCACGGGGTGGAGTAGGGGCAGCATCCCTCAGCCCGGCCTGCACCCTCTCCAATCCGGGACCCCTTGGGGGATGTCCGACTGCCAGTTTAAACCGGCAGTCAGACATCCCTTTCACAATCCAGGACCGGTGGCTCCTAACCGCTCACATGACTGCCTGCCCTAACCACTCTGCTTGATCCCCCTAACTGCTCTCCCCTGCCAGCCTGATCGCCCCTAACCGCCTCTGCCTCGGCCTCACCACCGTGGCTTTGTCCGGAAGGATGTCCAGAAGACGTGTGGTCTAATTAGGATATTACCCTTTTATTAGTATAGATCAATGATGGCGAACCTATGAGACGCGTGTCAGAGGTGACACGCAAACTCATTTTTTTGGTTGATTTTCTTTGTTAAATGGCATTTAAATGTATAAAATAAATATCAAAAATATAAGTCTTTGTTTTACTATGGTTGCAAATATCAAAAAATTTCTATATGTGACACGGGACCAGAGTTAAGTTAGGGTTTTTCAAAATGCTGGCACGCCGAGCACAAAAGGTTTGCCATCACTGGTATAGATGGTTAAAATGAAATGTTGCATAAGGTAAGATTTAATTGCTTACTCTTATTCTGACTGATTTGTATTCTGTAATTACTTCCTTCTAAACATCCCTTGAAATTTCTGACTACAATATTAATGATGGAAGCAGCAGTAGGTAATATAGTAGAAAGAGCCTCAAATTCTACAACAAAAATCCTAGATTATGGGATTTACTAGCTTCACAGTGGTATGACTAAATCATTTAATTTTCTTTTGTTTGTTTCTGAGATTTTTTTATTTTTGTGATTCTGTAATTCTCTTAACAAAAAAATATGATTTTCTTTTAGAAAGTAATTGAGCACTTCATAAATAACCAAGAATGCAAAATTTAGAAAATTTTTAGCTAAAGGAATCATATGGCAAAAATAAATGTAATTTCTAATCGGAAGAAGAGTTCAATATTGACTATAGCTTTATATTATGGTACAATGTTACCTAGAATCATTTCACTATGATCTTTTTTTTTTAACTTTTTAAAAAAAATTTCTTTATTGATTAAGGTATTACATATGTGTCCTTATCCCCCCCTTTTCTCCCACCCCCTCGCTCATGGCCTCACCCCCCTGGTGTCTGTGTCCATTGCTTATGCTTATATGCATGCAAGTCCTTTGGTTGATCGCTCCCCCTTACCCTCACCCTCCCCTACCTTCCCTCTGAGGTTTGATGGTCTATCAATGCTTCTCTGTCTCTGGGTCTGTTTTTGTTCATCAGTTTATGTTGTTCATTATATTCCACAAATGAGTGAGATCATGTGATATTTATATTTCTCCCACTGGCTTATTTCATTTACCATAATGCTCTCCAGGTCCATCCATGTTGTTGCAAATGGTAAGAGTTCTTTCTTTTTTACAGCAGCATAGTATTCCATTGTGTAGATGTACCACAGATTTTTAATCCACTCATCTGCTGATGGGCACTTAGGCTGTTTCCAAATCTTAGCTATTGTAAATTGTGCTGCCATGAACATAGGGGTGCATATATCCTTTCTGATTGGTGTTTCTGATTTCTTGGGACATAGTCCTAGAAGTGAGATTACTGGATCAAATGGGAGTTCCATTTTTAATTTTTTGAGGAAACTCCATACTGTTCTCCACAGTGGCTGCAATGGTCTGCATTCCCACTAGCAGTGCACGAGGGTTCCTTTTTCTCCACATCCTCGCCAGCACTTTTTGTTTGTTGATTTGTTGATGATAGCCATTCTGACAGGTGTGAGATGGTATCACATTGTCGTTTGATTTGCATCTCAGAT